TTTATATTTTTGTTTATCTTTGTTTTATTTATTTTGTTCTATCTCCAAAACGAATTCCTCTGTTTTTTTTAATTTTTCACGTGAATTTATAATTTAATTTGTACTAAGAAAATTTCTTAATTTTATTTCCAATTTATCTCTTTCTTTCATTTCCAGTTTATTTGACTTTCACAAATAAGTTCCGACTCAGGCTTGTGAAACTAGAGACTGATATAAATAATTTTTATTAAATTATTTTAAGCACCTTAATTCGGCTTGTTTATGCCTATTTTTCCCATATTCATATCTTTTTATTTAATCTATGAATGAATCTGTGCCATTTTCTTGCCTTAATGCATTGGGAATTTATACATGTTTTATTACTCGCCCTACTTTATTATTTTCTTAATAGTTGCTCTCACACGCATACTGCATTATTATGTATCTTTAAGATATCAGGATTTCATCTTAACTTGATCCTCTTCTTCTATTGTGCGTCAGGCTTTTTGGACCCACCTCTGGACTGTGCCTGTACCTGTATCGCATACTACCCTGGCCCTCAGTCCGGCGTGTGGTCCGAGTTCGGTTCTCGGCATCTTTTTAGCTCAGAAGCCCTATTCTGGCCCGGGCCAGAGTTAGTTTCTTCGGGTCCAACTTCCACACACCAAGTGCTTTCACTCACTGACGCGGGTCTCACCAGCGACCGCTGCGTCCTTGTCGGGACTAAACGTGGTGAGGTAGCGCTCGTGGATCTACGTCGTGGTGGGGTCGTGAGTGCCTTCACTGCTCATGAAGCCTCTGTGCGGTCAATTACGATTGACATGGCTACAGATTGTCTGATCACCGGCGGGTCTGATGGAATTGTTAAAGTGCGTGGTTATGCCTTATATACTAAGTTTAATGTTTTTTACACGATACTTTTAATAAAATTATTTTCAAGTATAAAATTAAATATTGGTCGCTGGTTGTTATCTCAATTCTTACCCTACTTTTTAAATATCAGACACAAATTATGCAGAGTGAAATTTTTTTCGATTATATCTTCAGCTTAAGGTCAAATACCTATTAAAGACATTCAAGAATTGTATTGGACTAATTTATCCGTAGTTATATCTAAGCCACCTTCGTTTCGATGCTTAATAGTACCGAACATAATTGATCTTTTCCTATTTCATGATCACAATATTGAAATATGGCATGTGAATCCCCAATAACCCTTCTCATAGGTGACTCTGCATGCCTTGACGACATGCTTCTTCCAACCGTAGTGGCGATTATTTTTACTTTTAACTATGCTAAAGCTTGTATTCATATTGCTTATATTCTTGGATGGCATTCAAAGACAACTGTGGAGAAATATTAACACAAACTTCATTCATTTATTTTCGAATAAAGAAAATTCATCTATCTAGTAAGTAAATTTCGATAAGATCAGCATATCTTGGCTAAGAAAACCTATATATATAAGAGCTATTTATTAATATTTTAAAATTCTGTAGTTGTACTATCCTATATAGGATAGTACAACTATAGAAAGAAGTTGTGTGCATAAGGAATAGCATACAGACAGGCGAAACGTCTGGTAATGCACCAAACCAACGGTCCGATGCTGGAACTCATCTCGAATGACGTAAGACTAGCTAGGTTCTACAATATTTCTCTGTCGCTCCGAACAAGCTAAACTAATACCATATAGCTAAAGGAGATTTCCACTAAACCTAAGACCGCACAATCTCTGTCTTCATTTATAGAATACAATAGTCTCGATGTAAGTTGGTCTCGAGAATATCAGTAAATATTGATTTAAATCTTGGTCACCCTAGGCAGCTTAAAGTGATTTAAGGATTGGTATTTCAATTTTCCACAGTGAGATGGATTGGCCTCACGATGCCATTGAATTTCACTTTGACTTAACTCATCTTAAGCCACCTAGTGCGAATAAGTATCGAAGCTGGAACTCTTACCCAAAATTATTTTTTTATTTTCATCATCTAAAGCATTGGTTTTATAAGTGACCAATTGATATTAAATTTTTGTATATTAATTTATCCAAGTCGGTGGTGATTAACTGAATAAACTTTTTTATAGTCAGCATTTTATTTTTACTTAACCTGCCTTAGGTTTGTCCACTTC